ATAAATCTTTTCTAACTGAATTACCTTGACACCTTTGCCAAAATTCAAATGATTGTGTGTGTGTGAGCTCCTTTCTAGACACTTGATTTTTTTTTATTGGAACTGTGTTGAATCTACAGGACAATTCAAGAAGAGCAGGCATCTTCACATTATTCAGTTTTAAAATCTATAAACATGGGATATTCTTCTATTTGTCTTCTTTCATTTTAGTTAGTGATCATTTTATAATTGACGACTTGCACATATTTTTGTTAAGTTTATTCCTATTTTATTTTTTTTGGCTGTTGCTATAAATTATATTATATTTTAAACTTCATTTTCCATTTTTTCACTGGTAATATGCAGAAACAGAACTGACTTTTGCATACTGGTCACGTTTCTCATTACTTTGTTAGAATTCAACCAGGTCTAGTAGTTTGTTTATTTTAGACAGGATTTAGCTCTGTTGCCTAGGCTGGAGTGCAATGGCATGATCAAACCTCGCTGTAAGCTAGAACTCCTGGGCTAAAGGGATCCTGCCATCTCAGCCTTCTAAGTACTGGGACTACAGGTTCCTGCCACCATGCCTGGCTGGGTCTAACAGCTTTTCAATAGATTCCATGGGATTTCCTATGAATCCTATCATGTCACTTATTTGTTTATTTCCAGTTTTTCTGGAATGCCTGTTTTTTTTCTCTCACTGCATTTAGTAGGACTCTAGTACAATGGTGAGTAGATCCTTACCTTGTTCCTGATCTCAGGGAGATAGTAGTCAGTCTTTTGTCATTAAACATGAAGCTAGCAGGAGGTTTTTCACATACATAATTGATCAGGTTGAAGAAGTTGCTTTATCCTAATTTGTTCAGAGATTTTGTCATAATGGACATTTAATTCTGTGAGACTTTCTTCTGCATCTAATGAGATGATTATACAGTTTTTCATCTTTGATCTGTTATTAAGCTAGATTGCATTAACTTTGAATGTTAGAACAAACTTACAACCTTACATTTCTGGGATAAACCCAAACTTGTTATAACTTATTCTCTTTTTAATTTATTGTGAGATTCAGATTAATAATATCCTGTCAGAGATATTTTTGCATGTCTATGAGGGATATAGATCTTTAGCTTCCTTTTCTTGTAATGTTTGTCTGGTTTTTAAAACCAGGGAAATGACAGTCTCATAAAATGAGCTAGAATGTTTTTCTTCCTCCTCTCTCTATATTTTTAAAGATTATTTCTTTCTTAAAAGTTTCATAGAATTCAATATTGATGCAATCTAAGTCTGGAAGATTTTTTCCTTTTTTCTTTGTGGGTAGGTTTTTAATTATCAATCTAATTTTTGAAAGATTTAATGCTACTCAGATTTTCTATTTTTTTGTCTGTGTTGGTAATTTGAGTCTTTCAAGGAATTTGCTCATTTCATCTAAACTGTGAAATTTATTTCACAAAAAATTGCACATAATGTTTTCTTATTATCTTTCAAACATAGATCTAATATAGAATCTATAGTGATATTTCTTTTTTCAACCCTGATACTTATAGTTTGTCTTCTTACTTGGGTAAGCTAGGTAGAGGTCAACCAAGTTTATTGATTTTATTTCATAAAACCAGCTTTTGGTGCATAGTTTTATTAGGTGACTTTTAACATTCATTGGTTTCCACTATTATCATTATTATTTCCTTCCTTCTACTAACTTGGATTTAATTTTTTTACTTAAGGGTTGAAGGGAGAAAGGGAGAAAGGAGAAATTATTTATAGCCTTCTAAGTGGAAGATTAAATCCTTGATTTTAAACCTCTTTTCTAATGTAAGCATTTGAAACTATACATTTTTCCCTAAGAAACACTTTAGATGAATTTCACAAGTTTCAAATGTTATGTTTTCAAGATCATTCAGCAAAACATATTTGCTAATTTTCCTTGTGATTCTTTGACCCCACAGGTTATTCAGAAGTATGTTGTTTAATTTTCTAACTTTCTAAATATCTGTTATCAATTTCTACTTAAATTCTGTTGAGGCCATAGAACACAAAAAGTATGAATCTAATCCTTTCAAATTTATTGAGATTTGTTTTATGACCCATTATTTGGTGTGTTATTGAACATTCCAAGTATACTTGAAAAGACTGTTTATTCTGGTGCTTTTTGGTGTAGCAATCTATAAATGTCAATTACATCATAAAGTTCACTGACAATGTTGCTCAAGGCTTCTGTAGCTTTACTGCTTTTTTTTTTTTTTTTTTTTTTTTGAGCTGGGATCTCACTGTGTCACCTAAGCTGGAGTGTGGAGGCAAGATCACAGTTCACCACAGCCTCGAACTTCTGGCCTAGGCAATCCTTCTGCCTCTGCCTCCTGAGATGCTGGGACTACAGGTGAATACCACCATGCCTGGCCAACTTTTTAAATTTTCTGTAGACCCGAAGTCTCACTATGTTGCCTACGCTGGTCTCAAACTACTGAACCCAAGCAAATCTCCTGCCTCAGCATCCCAAAGTGCTGGGATTACAAGTGTGTGGCACTGCACCTGGCCTTTTGATATATTTGTTTAGAGACTGGGCTTGGTGGCTCAGCATGTATTCCCAGCACTTTGGGAGGCCAAGGTAAGTGGATTGCCTGAGCCTGCAAGTTCAAGACCAGGCTGGGAAACTTTGCAAGAACCCTGTCTCTACAATAAAATTTTTTAAAAATTAGCTGGGCGTGATAGCCCATGCTTCTAGTCCCAGCTACTTGGAAGTTTGAGGCAGAAGGACCTCCAGAGTCCAGCAGGTTGACGCTGGGGTGGCCATGAGCATGCCACTGCACTCCAGCAAGGGCGACAGAGTGAGACTCCAACTCATGGAGGCTCATGATACTACTCTATTTCTGTCTATTTTTTAAAATTTCATACAAAAACAAAAGTCAGTAGATATAATTTCTGTCTATGTGGTTATAGCTCCAACGTGGATTCGTGTATTTTGTTTTTAATTTTTAGGGACTGTTTTTGTTTGTTTTTAACTTGATCTTTACATGGTTATTAAGGCAAAACAAAGAAACATAATATTTCAGAGTTTTCCCTTTCATCCCCGTCCCTTGCTTTTTCTCTCTTACCTGTATAAGTAGTTTTATTTATTTTATTTTATTTTAGATTGACATCACCACTGTTTCTTTTTGAAAATGTAAAGAAAGATATATACTGGTATTAAATCCTCTGACTCTACATAAGGTATCATATTATACAAACTCTTCTGCAGTTTGCTTTCTTCATTTAACAACATGAGATCACTCCAGAGGATAAAAATGTTTCCATTACTTTTATTTAACCAGTACTCTACTGATAGACATTGGAGGGTTAGCTATCTTTTGCTATCACAAATAATGTGTATGTTATTATAATTAGTCTTGACATATAAATTATGTTTTTGCCAATGTATCTTTGGGATAAGGTTGGATCACAAAAAAAAGTATAAACCACATGTCACTATTCTATATAAGTGGTCCTATTTATTTATTTGTTTATTTTCATTTTGTAGAGACAAGGACTCACTATGTTGTACAGGTTGGTTTCAAACTCACGGGCTCAAGCGATCGTCCCCCTTAGCCTCCGAAAGTGCTGGCATTACAGGTCTGAGCCACTACACACAACTGTAAGTGGTCAAATTCTTAATCTTTATAACACTAAGTATTCAAAGGAAACAAAAAATCAAAAAGAAACAAATCTAAAGGTAAATGTAGCATTACTGGTATAAAGAAATAGGGGGAAGGGGCCAGTATGTTGGTCTCTCATGCTAAAGGTTTCCAAATCAACCCTTAGAAATACTTATTAGTAGAATTAACTACAGTCTGTATATTTCAGATATTTCTTTTAAGAGTTGGGGGTTGAGATGAAAGGATTACTTGAGCCCAGGGGGTCGAGACCAGCCTGGACAACGTGGTGAGAACTCATCTCTACAATAAAACAAATTAGCTGGGCATGGTGGTGCACGCCTGTAGTTCCAGCTACTCAGAAGGTTGAGGTGGAAGGATCGCCTGAGTCCAGCAGGAAAATGCTGCGGTGGCCATGAGAGTGCCACTAGACTCCAGCAAGGGTGACAGAGTGAGAATCCAACTCAAAAAAAATAAGTTGGGGTGTCACTCTGTGTCCCAGGCTGGAGTACAGTGGTATGATCACAGCTTACTGTAACCTTGACTCTTAGGCTCATGCAATGCTTCGGCCTCAGCTTCCCAAGCAGCTGGAAATACAAGCATGTGCCACCATGTCTGGCTAATTTTAAAAAGACGTATTGTAGAGACAGGGTCTTGCTATGTTGCCCAGTTGGTCTTGAACTCCTAGCCTCAAGCTATCTTCCCACTCCCACTCTTGGGCTCAAGTGGTCTTCCTGCATGAGGCCTTTTTGAACAGGAACTCTGAGAATAACCCTGGCCCCCCCACCTGTGTAAATGTTGATTCTTCAGTGGCTTCACTTTACTTCACAGTAGACAACATTTTTCCTACGTAATATTCAATTGTTATTTGATACCCATTATTACCAGTGTATATCCTTGAATTGAATATTTCTTTTATGCCTACCTTCTACATCTAATGTCTGTGACTGTAACACTCTCAAGGATGAAGGATTATTCTCAATTTCTTTTTATTGTGACTGGCAAAGATATAGCACATTTCATTTAATAACTGCTCTCAGTACTGATTATCATAAGCTGTTTAGTCCTGTGTTTAAGATTTTAATCTTTTTATAGAATTATCTTTTTGATGACAATATCTTTTTGAAATATAAATAATCCTAGTAATATGTATTATTAGTATCACTACTATACATACATAAACTATAATTTTTTATACTTTCATTTCAAAAATCAAAAATAGGATTCCAAAATAAGTTTCTTATTCCATTGATACTTTCATGTCACATTCCCCTTTTAAAATATCTTCCTTTATAAAACCAAGATAAAATTTGCTAAATATGCTTAGCAGCCTGCATTTAAAGATAGCATATACCAGACAAAAGTGGCTGTGACTTACCCTTCTAAAACATACAATACTTACGCATCTGTAGTCTTTGTACACCCATTTAGATTCAGTACTTCAATATTCCTACAATTTTGTGCAAAAGTCCTTTATGGGAAAGAAACAGAATGAAAGGTTTCAAATGAAATGGGGAAAATTTCAGGTATTAAAAAAACCAATAAAAGATATTATTAGTAGTATTAGTTGTTGGTATGATAGTGTAATATAAGAAAAAACATATATTTGGTCTTTATTTCTGTTTCCTAGCACAGAGTTCCTAAAACCTTTGTAATTTCCTGAGTGATAATATCTTTAGTTATAGTATGTAATCTTCAATCATGACTCCACAAGGGAAGCTTTGTTTAAAAAAAAAAAACCCTAAATAACAGAGATCAGAGAGCTTCTGGGTTCGTGAATGTAAATATGTGCCAGGAGGGTGGCATACTCCAACTCTATGGGGACAGAAGCTCCTGTGCTCGGGACTCTTCTAGACATTGTCCTATGTGTCTCTTCATTTGGCTGTTCATTTGTACCCTTCATAATATCTTTTATACTAAACTAGTAATAGTAAGCAAACACTTTCCTAAGTTCTATGATAACTTCTTTGATAATTTTAGTAAATTAAAATTATCAAAATTTTAGTAAACTATCAAATCTGAGGAAAGAGTCATGGGAACCCCCCTGACTTATAGTCCATTAATGAGAAGTACATGACAATGTGGGACTTGTGACTGGCATCTGAAGTAGGGGCAGTCTTTTTTTTTTTTTTTTGTTTGGTTTGGTTATGTTTTATTTTGTTTCTTTGAGTTGGAGTCTAAGTAGTCTCACTCTGTCGTACAGGCTGGAGTGCAGTGGCATGCTCACGGCCACCGCAACCACAACTTGCTGGACTCAGGGGATCCTTCCCCCTAAGCCTTTCAAGAAGCTGGAACTACAGGCATGTGCCACCACGCCCAGCTAATTTTTTGATCTATTGTAGAGACACGGTCTCACCAAGTTGCCCAGGCTGCTCTTAAACCCCTGGGCTCAGGCAATACTCACCTCTGCCTCCCAAAGTGCTGGGATTACAGGTGTGAGCCACCACACCCAGCAGTAGGGGCTGTCTTATAGGACTAAAATCTTAGCTGTGGAGTCTCTGGGTAATTAGTGTCAGAACTGAATTGAATTATAGGCTATACACTTGGTGTCCAGAGAATGGGAGAACTAGTTGTTGGGTGAAGAAAAAAACTCCACACATTTGGTGTAAAGAGGGTCATAAATAAGAATAGTTGAGAATGGTACAAAGTAGTTCATAATTATAAATAAATTAATTTTCAACTATAAATTTTTTTAACCATAACTTTTTTTTTTGAGTCAGAGTCTTACTCTGTCGCCCAGATTGGAGTGCAGTGGCATACTCATGGCCACTGCAGCCCCGACCCGCTGGGCTCAGGTAATCCTTCCACCTCAGCCTTCCAAGCAACTGGAACCACAGATGCATGCCACCATGTTCAGCTAATTTTTTGATTTATCCTAGAGATGAAGTCTCATCAAGTTGCCAGCCTGGTCTCAGGCAATCCTCTCACCTCAGTCTCCCAATGTGCTGGGATTACAGGTGTGAGCTAAAACACCCAGCTTAACCATAACTCTTAAACACTGAATCTGTGTCAACCTAAGTTTAAATTATCCTAAGTGTGAGCAATCAAAAGTTTAAAAAAAAAACTTACTCAAGACTCTAAAATAACCATTTATGATGGGGAATCTGGCCTTTTGAGGGGATTGTTAGCTCTTGTTTATTCTTGAAACATCCCTTTCTACCACTGGATATTTTTGTTTTATAAGCAATGCATGTGCGCCTTCTCTGGGTGAGATGGCACTGCTCTTGATGTCAATCAAGATTAGTCAACAGTCATGTTGTTACCTTAATGCATTGTCTCCTACTCCAAGACACCCACAGATTAACTTTCGTAAAAAACCCCCACATCGTTTTGAAATATTCTCCACTACCCGGCCCTGTAAAAAGAGACAGGTATACAAAGATAACTCACCTCTCACTGTTTCTGAAAAGAACATATCCTTACTTTTACATTCTATAAACAAAGATAAAAGACTTCTACTAAGACCTAATGAATTCAATAGGAAAATTTCAACTTATTTTGAGAAAGCTTTCCCAATTAACCCATCTACTTGAAACATGCCTAGACTCTGTATTGTTATTTATTCTTTTTTAAATTGTTTTGGAGATGAAGTCTCACTCTGTTGCTAAGGTTGGAGTGCAGTGGCACAATCGCAACTCATTGCAGCCTTGACGTCCTGGACTCAGGTGATCCTTCTGCGTCAGCCGCCCAAGTAGCTGGGACTACAGGCACACGCTACCACAACCAGCTTATTTTTTTTTATTTTCTATAGAGACATGGTCTTGCTAAATTGCTCAGGCTGGTCTTGAACTCCTGGACTCTAGCAATTCTCCCACCTCGGACTCCCAAAGTGCCGGGGTTATAGGTGCCCAGACTATTGTTTCATATTTGTAAGAGATTCTACAATCTGTGAAACAGTGTTATACGGTTCGCTTACAGGACTATATCCGTGAATACTGCCCACTTGGGTCAAACCACAGTTACTGAAGGACAATAACTAGTGTATATTTTCCCAAAATGCTTGTTACAGTACTCCACTTATAGCAGGAACTCAATGAACACAATAAAAGCTTGCTAAATAATCTTGTGGTTCGTGTTGCTTTTAACATTTATATTCATGAAGAGTAGGAAACTGTGAAAAACAAAATTCAGTATAATACTCATGGGTACTACTTAAAAAGCACTTCCTAAAGGTTCATGTGAAGCTTTTCAAAACATTTTACATGCACCCTCAAGATAATTTATTTCCATTAGAACTTAAGAAAAAATGAACTTCACAGCAACTTGGATGGACTTACAGTCTATAATACTGAGAAATCTATCACAGACACAAAGAACTGAGTGCTACATGCTCTCACTCATAAGTGATCCTTGAACAACTATCATAATCCTATAAGAAAGGGATTGGCAGTAGTGGGAAACTGCCAGGGGAGAGGGGGACATACCTCATCAACAAGAGTATCTGCATAATAACCATTTATATAACTAACCCTGAATTGTACCCCACATCTTTAAAATTTTTTAAAAATTAGAAAAAAAGAACATAAGAGAAAAAAGAATAATCTCATTTAATCCATATAACACTATGATCATGGAAGCTATTATTTCTAATCTCCTAATGAGAAAGTTAAAGACCACCAAATTCAAATTCAGGTTAAAATAATTTAAGTTTAAGCTATCATGTTCCTCCATTTTGAAAATAATAGACTAATTATTTACTAAGAGATAAAATATGAGAGAAAAATGAGATGAGAAAAAAAATCTCTCCCTAGCAAACACAATTCAATAAATGACTTTGGCTTTATTCATTTTTCATTCTCCACAAATACTATTTGTAGCCTCCCCAAGAACTGAAAAACATATTGCAAAAAAGTATGCAAACACCCTCCCCCAACAAGTTGTAACTATACTTGATCTTCAATAAAAAAACATAAAATGACTTCCTTAAAATGAGCATACAGGCTCATGCTTCCTCTGCAAAAACAAACTTTTAGTCCTGTTTCAGGACCAAACAGTCCTATTTAGTCTTATTAACACTAAGTAATTTAGTGTTATCTCAGTGAAATTATGCAGTTTCATTGTCAAAACTGAAGAAACTCTAGAGAATTTTAGATGCTCCGGTGAAGCTCAAATGCACTGAAAGTAAGTTTCTCTCTCCAGGGAAAATGTTATTAATATAACTGAAGCCAATCTGTTCCATGCTGTAATTATTAACAAGAGAAATGGGGTCACACACCACATAATTATACCTCAATATCCCTCTGGAAATCAAACAGGTCAATTCGCTGCCAGTTACTGCCATCCAGAGCCAGAACATTCCAGGCCTATTTTAAGAAAAACTGAATAAGCAGAAGATGAAATGAAGGGCAAAAGGTAACAAAATTCAAGTTCACAATTCAACCAATGATTGAAATGGACCAAAACATTTCTCAGTCCCTAATGATGTGCCTTACTCTTTAATTCCCAAATGATGTGTTTTACTCTTGATCCATACTTTATTCTCCAGTTAGATTATCTTATAAATGAGTGGGTACAGAAATCAGCAGCTATGAAAGATCTTAGAGAAGTTAAGGAAAGGAAAAGTTATGATAAATATCACAGCCAGGTGTTTTCAAACTAGAAAATTCTAGTTTCTATTCACAAAAAGAGGCAAAAGTTCAGTTGATGAAAAGCAAATCTTTGCTCTATCACTAAACTGGAACAAGATAAGGGTGAAACCCAACAAAGAGGACAGTACTCTGAATATTGCTCTATTCAGTATTTATTTCCTAACCATAGCATCACTTAGTAGGACTTGCAACTACAATATGATAATTTGGGACTCAGAAAAGACACTATCATTTATCTGTATAATTTCTCTGCAATACTTAGAGACATTTCTCTGAAATCATCTTATATATAAGCTCCCCAGGGTAACTGTCACACAATCACCAAGAAAGATGTCAGGATTATGACAGTAAGCAAGTAGTTACCATTCTAGAAATGTCTTAAGTTTTTTCAGAAGTTCAATGTTACTTTTTCTTTTATGGCTTCATATTCTTCCAACAGTTTCTTAAAGGACTAGCCACAGGAGGAAGCAAATAAAACCTTTAAAGATTTATATTTAATAGATTCTTGGCATAACGTGGTATGATAGTTCTCATTTCCTGATACTATACTTTCTTCAGTAAGCAGGAAACATGCAGAACTCAGAACTCAGATTAAAATTGGGAATGACAGCCATCTCTTTACTAGACTCTGGTGCAGCCAAGAGTTATGAGCTATGGCCACTGTCATGTTTCCCAAGCTTTGGCCCCCTTTTCTACCTTGGATAGGTGAATCTCTTCTATCTTGCTCTCGTTTACTGTTTAAATAAACTATATTTTCCAACTTAAAAAAATAAATAAGCAATAAAATAAAATTAGGAATGACAGCTTTCCTATATAGAGTCTACATTTTTTAAAAAAATACAAAACTTCAAGTACAGAAAACAGGAAGATAACTACTGATGTACCTACTATCCAGATTTAATGAAAATTGGCATTGTACCTTCCTTTCTTTAAAGTTAACACATATAAAGGAGGAAGAGAGCTGGGCTCGGTGGCCCAGCCTGTAATTCCGCGCTTTGGGAGGTTGAGGTGAGTGGATTGCCCAAGCCCGCAGGTTTGAGACCCGCCTGGGCAACTTGGCAAGACCTCATCTCTACAATAAAAATCAAAAAATCAGCCAGGCGTGGTAGCATGCGCCTGTAGTTCCATCTACTTGGAAGGCAGAAGCGGAAGGATCGCCGGAGCCCAGCAGGTTGAGGCTGCGGTGGCCAGGAGCGGCCACTGCAGTCCCGTCTGGGTGACAGAGTGAGACTCCAACTCAAAAAAAAAACAAAAACAAAGGAGGAAGAGGAACTTGTAAATTGAAACTCATTAAAATCAACATTGCTGGGGTGAGGCTCTGTGACTAAACAAGTTTAGACACTGGTCTGGACATTCTGTTTTTCAGTGATGACCTCAGCTTCATATGGAGACAGAAAAGAAAATCTACACATTTGGAAGTATAATGGCCATGTCTAGAGACATCACACAAGTACCAAGAATAGAAATGTCATAAAAGAAAATATCACAGTTTTACTGGTTGTTTCCACAATAGCTGATACAGATTTAGTATGGCTTTTACGACGCAGAAGTTACTTTGAAGTTAGCAGAACAACACCTATAAGTCCACTATAGCCTCTGAATTATCCCTCCTTAGAGTTTGCTAATGCTTCCAACTTAGTCATTTGAAACTCAAAAGCACAATTTTATGGGCCCTGCCAAGGTCCTCGTCTGTTGCAGAATGTGTAATTATCTATTTGTTTTGGACTATATAATATAAACATTTAAAACATAAATCCTTTCCATATATTTCATTATTATTAAACCAACACTACTGTGTTTTGTGATGCTTTTTCATTTTATAGAATTCTTCTTTGGATCTAACAGAATAAAAACTTTTTTTTTTTTTGAGTTGGAGTCACACTCAGTCGCCCAGGCTCGAGTGCGGTGGCACACTCACGGCCACCACAGCATCAATCTGCTGAGCTCAGGCGATCCTTCTGCCTCAGCTTTCCAAGTAGCTGGAACTATAGGCATGGGCCACCACGCCCAGCTAATTTTTTTTTCACGTATTGTAGAGATGAAGCCTCATCAAGTTACCCAGGTGGATCTCGAACCCCTGAGTTTAGGCAGTCCTCTCGCCTCACCCTCCCAAAGTGCTGAGATTACAGGCTTGAGTCACCGTGCCCAGCCTTAATAAAAATCTCTTGAACTCCTCCACTCCCTCCCAAAATAAATAAAGTTAGCAGGACAAGGCCACTTTTCTACATTAAGTTGAGTGTGGTCGTAATGATTATGGTGGTGATTTAAAGAGACATATCTAGCACCTACGACTGCTCCTGGAATATAGTAGGTTCACAATAAATATCTGTTAAATTAATGAATATACAAAAAGCCAATGTCATGCTTATGAAAAGACAACAGTTCATTTATCTTATTAAGTTAATTATTACATATCTGTATTGCAAAAGGGATTAGAATAGATTCATAAAGCAATTTTCCCACAACATCAGAGAGTTTACCCATTTTATTAGTGGCAGACTATAAGACTCTGATGTTTTGTTATTTTGTCACAGCGATGTCAATTGACAAAAATGGACAGTTAAGTGTAATGCAGAAATTGACCCTGAAGTTTGGTTTGTTTCACAACTTAAAATATATATATATCTACTATCATCTTTTGAAGAAAGAATATGGGAAAATAAGCCAGGCATGGTGGCTCACGCCTGTAATCCCAGCACTTTGGGAGCCCAAGGAAGAGGATTGCCTGAGCCCACAGGTTCAAGAGCAGCCTGGGCAACATAGCAAGACCTCGTCTCTACAATAAATCAAAATATTAGCTGGGTGTGGTGGTACATGCCTGTAGTTCCAGCTACTTGGAAGGCTAAGGCAGAAGGATCGCCTGAATCCAGCAAGTCAAGGCTGCGATGCCATGAGCGTGCCACTGTACTCCAGTCTGAGCGACAGAGTGACTCCAACTCAAAAAATAAAAGAATATAGGAAAATAATATGACAATTAAGTCCTCAAGAGGCTTTATTACATATATTTTTGTGTCTGTTTATGCAAAATGAACTAGAAAAACGTAATGAAACACAACTTCATTACAATTCTGAGTCAAGTCTAACATTTTAATATGCATGCTTAATGTTATTTCGTTGAAAAATGTTTCTTCTGTTTATTCATAAGAGCTACAAAAAGTATATAAAGCAGATCCTCATCATAGAATTACATGGGTTTGGGTATGCCACGAGTGGATTAACATCCTTTGAAAAAGGAAAACATGTAAGTCATACTTAAAATAAACAGATAGCCTATTAAAGAGGCTGTCATCACCAGTGTGAGGAAGGGGTCCCCCGTAAGCATGACAAACGTTCTTACCCTGGAGACCTGAGCACAGCGACACAAGGTAACGACATCCAGAAAAGAAAATATCCTAGAAGAAAAAGGGAGGAAGACAAACTTTATTGTAAGATAAAGAAGTTTCTCTCGATGTCTTCCTATAAATAATTGACTATGTATAAACACACAAACACAGATGTTCTTTTAAACAAACACACAAAATGCTTGAGGAATTCACAAAGATAATACTGCCCATATAAAACAATAGGAAAAGTAACCTTTCACTTGACAACGCTGTCCAAGTTTAATTATGTACACCAAAGGATAATAAATAATTTCTAATACAATTTTTTAAAAGTAGAAAGCCACTTCTGTACCTCTGGCTATCAAAAGAAGTAAGCTAGGGGAAGGATATCTTTATAAAGGATTTTGCAGTTATGGGATTGGCCACAGCAGCTCACATCTATAATTCAGCACTTTGGGAGATGGAGCTGGGAGGACTGCTTGAGTCCAGGAGTTAGAGACCAGCATGAGCAACATAGCAAGACCTCATCTCCATTTAAAAAACTTTTTTTAAGCTAGCCAACTGTGGTGGTGTACACTGGTAGCCCCAGCTACTCGGGACATTGAGATGGGAGACTGCCCGAGCCCAGGAGGTCAAGGCTACAGTGAGCCATGATTATGCCACTGTACTCGAGCCTGGGCAACAGACTGAGACCCCAACTAAAAAAAAAATTCTGCAGTTATGAAGAAAAAAGGATAAAACAACTTAAAACCTACAGAATGTTAAATCTCTATATGTTTAATTCTGATTTAGCAAATTGTAAAGCTCTTTTAACACAGCAATGTTAGGAAATATTTACTATCTAGAGTTTTTCTTACTCTTATAGAGGCTAAATACTTATTTTGAAGTAATTTATTTGCTTAAAGCCTGATAAACTATATCATAAGACCCCTGTATAAACAGGTCAGGAAATCCTGGAAATAAAATGAATGGGTCATTTATTCTTGAAGCCCTCTTCACTCACCAGTACCCCTAAGGGTCATCTTGATCTGAATGACAAACTCTTCTATAAGTGGCTAAAAGTACAATATAGAATGTGCTTTAAGCCGGGCTCGGTGGCTCAGCCTGTAATCCCACACCTTTGGGAGGCTGAGGTGAGTGGATTGCCTGAACCCGCAGGTTCGAGACCTGCCTGGGCAGCGAGACCTCATCTCTACAATAAATCAAAAAGTCAGCCGGGCGTGGTAGCGCATGCCTGTAATTCCGGCTCCTCAGAAGGCTGAGGCGGAAGGATCGCCGGAGTCCAGCAGGTCGAGGCTGCACTCCAGTCTGGGCGATAGAGTGAGACTCCAACTCAAAAAAAAAAAAAAGAATGTGCTTTAAAGATTTCAAGGGAATGAAAGTGAATGTTGCTTTAAGAATTTTATAGCATTCTGACATTCCTTGAGAAAAATGAAGATACCTGGGGTGTTACAAAATCCAGGTCAGGAAGCATCAGCTTGGAGGAGTTGGAGCTAGAGTTTCTATTCCCATAGTTATTTTATATGTAAACAGCTTCCACATCAGCTTAAAAGAGTAAAATTTTGTTGTTTAGTGATTAGAGGCTATCAATTCACATTTTAGAAATTGGAATAAGCTAAGTTAATAATTCCATCAGACAGAAAATCAGGTGCATTTTGTAAATAAAACTTTTTATGGCCAGGCACAGTGGCTCACACCTGTAATCTCACCACTTTGTGAGGCCAAGATTAAAGGACCGAGTTCCAGGAGTTCGAGACCAGCCTGGGCAACTTGGTGAGACCTCATCGCTACAATAAATAAAAAAAATTAGCCAGGCATGGTGGCACATGCCTATAGTTCCAGCTACTTGGAAGACTGAGATCAAAGCTGCAGAGGCCATGAGTGTGCCACTGCACTCCAACCTGGGCGACAGAGTGTGACTCCAACTCAAAAAAATAAAATAACTTTGTATCATGGTAAATCATATGTAAAATGTAAATTTTAACAATTTTTTCAAAGAGCACAGTTCAGTAGCATTAAGTACATTTGCACTGTTATGCAACTTATCACCACCATCCTCTCCAACACTTTTTTCGTCTTCCCAAACAAACTCTGTACTCATTAACCAATAACTCCCTATTTCCTCCTCCCAGTTCCTGACAACTACTGTTCTACTTTCTGCCTCTATGAGGTTGACTACTCTAGGCACCTCATACAAGTATTCATCCATTTGCGTCCTTTTCGTGTAAGAATCATACAGTATTTGTCATTTTGTGACTTGCTTATTTCTCTCAGCATAATGTTTTCTTTTCTTTTTTTTGAGTCAGAGTATCACTCTGTCACCCAGGTTGAAGTGTAATGGCACACTCACGGCCATCCCAGCGGTGAGCTGCTGGGCTCCATCAAAGGTATAGACCAGAGTACTATAAAGGCATGTCTTGTCTCTTGGTTGAAAGGAAAACTATTTTAACTAAAAACATCCAACAACTACTTTTAAAATTAAAAAACCCTTAATTTTGGAAGGAGATTTTATATTTTTCTTTTCTTTTCTTTTCTATTTTTTGAGTTGGAGTCTCACTCTGTCACCCAGACTGGAGTGCAGTGGCCGCTCACGGCCACCGCAGCCTCGACCTGCCGGGCTCCGGCGATCCTTCCGCCTCAGCCTTCCAAGTAGCTGAAACTACAGACACGTGCTACCACGCCCGGCTAATTTTTTATTTATTGTAGAGATGCGGTCTCGCAAGTTGCCCAGACAGGTCTCGAACCCATGGGCTCAGGCAATCCACTCACCTCAGCCTCCCAAAGTGCGGGGTTACAGGCTGAGCCTCCAAGCTCGGCTTATATTTATAGTATCATATTTGCCTGCTTTACTCCACTTCTTCCTTCAGTAACAGAAGCAGGGAAAAGAAGGGGTAATGCTGAGCTCACAGCACGATTTACAAACTTCTGACTCTAAATAGTCCACACATAAATAATAGCAAAAGAGGCTTCTAAATATAGGTCATTATTATGCAGATGGGACTATTAAAGCTCAGACTGATTTCTGATAGTGTCCTGTCCAGGATGTCCACTATGAATGGTCTACAACAGAAAGTGACTAATATCCATATGTAGCTTGGAAAACAACGTAAGATACAGTTTTTGTAGAACTGAATTAAAATTTTATTTCATATTGTTATGACTCTATGTGCTAAGCTCTCTATTGTCTATAAAGTAATTCTGCCTCCAAAAAATACACAGAACAGAAATGAAAACTTAAAAAGAATTTTCCCAGGATAATTTTAAATGATTATAAACAATTTTTACATTTTAAAATCCTTAGAATAAATTGCTCTAGAAAGATCTTTAAATCGAACCAAAAAAAATTATGAGTTAGAAAATGTAGTTCTGAATTTTTTACAGGCTTCTACATTCCTGTAGTCTCTTAAATAAGTTAAATTTAGTCTTGATCTAGCATTCCATCATTGTAGTGCAACTTTCCTTAATGCAAACATGCTGAATACAAACTAGTGACAGTTTATAGTCATTGCCTAAAGTAAGTGCAGCATGCCGAAAACTACCCAATTCGATGTTTTAATTCAGTACAAGAAAATCAGTTATATTCCTAATAAATCAGTGTTAATTAAAGTCTATGATAAATACTCAAATCTGCTCAAGTTTGAGCCAGCATTAGATATTTAATTTGAACATGAATTATTGATTTAATAGTGCCTTACTACAAGACTGACAATGTTTTTTTTTCCTTGAGTCAGTCTCACAGTGTCACACAGGCTGGAGTGCTGCAGTGGCATGATCACAGCCACCAAGGCCTTGACCTGCTGGACTCCGGCAATCCTTCTGACTCAGCCTTCCAAGTAGCTGAAACTATAGGCACACGCCACCACACCCAGCTAATTTTTTCTTGCCTCCACCTCCCAAAGTGCTGGGATTGCAGGTGTGAGCCACCACACCTGGCTAAGACTAACCATTTAAAATGCTTATGCTTACTGCTTATTTATTTTATTTTTTTGAGTAGGAGTCTGACTCTGACTCCTAGGCTGAAGTGCAGTGGCATGGTAACAGCCACCTCAGTCTTGACCTGCTGGGTTCAGGTGATCCTTCCACCTCAGTCTTCCAAGTAGCTGGAACCAGAGGCATGCACCACCACACCTGGCTAATTTTTTATTTATTGTAGAGACGAAGTCTCACCAAGTTGTCCAGACTGGCCTCGAACCCTGAAACTTAAGCAATAGTCTCACCTCCTCCTCCCAAAGTGCTGGGATTACAGGTGTGAGTCACCACACCCAGTGTCCTACTTAATTTAAAATTCCTTTTTGTACATGTGCTTTGTTGGGAAATAATTTTTAAATATCTTGAGACCAACAGACTAAAATATGTGGATACACAATTATATAAAACTGAGCCCTGGGTTAGGCATGGTGGCTCATGCCTATAATCTCAGTACTTTGGGAGGGTAAGACAGAAGGATCACTAGAGGGCAGTGGCACACTCCCAGCCACCTCAGCCTCAACCTGCTGGGCTCAGACGATCCTTCTGTCTCAGCCTCCCAAATAGCTAGAACTACAGGCACATGCCACCACACCCAGCTAATTTTTTGATTTATTGTAGAGAAAAGGTCTCACCAAGTTGCCCAGGCTGGTCTCAAACCCACAGGTTCAGGCAATCCTCTTACCTTGGCCTCCCAAAGTGCTGGGATTATAGGCACAAGCCACTGCGCCCAGTCCTAATTTTTTGACTTTTTGTAGAGATGACGTCTCATCAAGTTACTCAGGCTGGTCTCGAAACCCTGGGCTCAGGCAATTCTCTCACCTCAGTCTCCCAAAGTGCTGGGATTACAGGCATGAGCCACCATGCCCAGCTATATGCTTAATATTGAGACATTATATTATTAGTGTCTTATATTCCCAAAACAAGACATTATTTTGGGAAGTGGATCATAAATTGGCATTGGTATAATACTCCCATTTTTCTTGTCTAGAAGCTCAAGCACTCTGTGATAACCACTATGGCTGACTCAGACAAGTGAAACATGTTTTGATAGAGATGCATATCTATAAAGCTACTTTCTATAACCCACACAGGAAAAAAGA